TGCGGGCAGCCCCGCCGCTGCGCACAGCGCTCCGTGGTCGCTGCCCCTCTTGTCCTGTGGGCTCCACTCTGCCCCCCAGGCCCGGCCTTTCTCCTGCCACATCCGTGTTTCAGAATAAGGAACCGGCCCCTGGGGCCAGTCGTCGTCACCTGAAAGAACGCCGACTGTTTTAAGACCACGGAGTGGAGTCACTGCAGAGGCCGCTGAGCCGGCCGAGACTGACACACGACAGAAAGACGGGCGCCGTGCACCTCGTCAACGGAGAAACGAAGCAGAACTGTCAGCCCGTTATCGTCTCTCTCTCATGGCACTTGACTGACTCATCAACAGAGAAATAAAACGAAACAACAAAACTCTCAACCAGTTTCCTCTTTTTCAGGCAGAAGAGCCTCGTGGCCAGTCAGTCACGTGGCGAACACGCTTGCTGCAAAGGGTCCCAGCGAGAGTTCCTGGAGCTGACGGGGCTCGGCCGTCTCTGTTCTTCCACGAGGCAGGGACTGCGCCTGCTGACCCCCGAGCTGGGCCTTCCTCATGTACCGAGAGACCGGTGCCCGGCGAGGACGACACCACGCCTGGGGGGCACCCGTCTGGCACTGGGCTGGCCCCCGCGCCCACCAGCCCCTGGGAATGCTGGGCAGACGCACACCTGAGGCAGCGTCTGTGACTTTCGCGCACACACACCTGTCACGACGGACTCGGACTCAGCAGGTCCAGGTGGGCCCGAGTCTGCATCTCCAACGAGCTCCCGGGGCTGCCGATGTTGCTGGTGGGCAGAGAGCCCTCTGTGGGTGTCGGTTTAACCTCCTCGGAAGTGAGCCCTCCTGCTCGCCTGCGTCAGGACCTCAGTGCTCCTGCTCTCGGCGACCAGAGAATTAACGCCTGCTACCTGCTGAGAGAAATTCTCTCCTTCTCAAAAACACCTGCTAACTACTGACGTTTAGTTGTGGCAAGTCCGCGGGCAGACAGGCAGCTCCTGCATCTCACCGCCTGCCCCTCCTCCACCCCGCCTGAGCCCACCCCCGGCCGGCCCCTCACCGTGAGCTCGTTCACCTGCCTGTGTTTCTCACCCAGGGAGGCCCCAGGGCCCACAGAGACTATGAACGTCTGCATTTCACCCCAGCGGCGACGCACAGAGTTGTTTTGCTTCGGTCCCTGACTCTGGCGGAGCAGCCGGTTGGCGTCCTCAGCTCAGTGGTCCTCTCCCGCCACCAAGTGGACGAAGGTGGAAGTGTCTCCAGCTCACCGCCAGGTCCCACAAAGGCTCAGAGCCCCTGGGGTGTTCCTCAGCCTGGGCCAAGTCCTGGGACGTGGGCAGGTGAGCCTCGTTTTCACAGGAGACACGTGGAAAGGGCTGAAACGCGCTGAGCGCCTGCTGGTCTGGCCACTCAGGTTCACTGTACCGGCTGAGCCGAGTGTTAACGCACTTGAGCTCAGGATTAGCCTGGACTCCACACGGGCTGCTACCGTTTAAAAGATTATTTCGGCAGCAATTGGCAGTCTCCATCCTGCCTCCCCAAACCATTGCATCTGCGGCCCCTGGAAAACCAGAATGTTCCCGCTGGGAGAAGCTGAAGCAGGTTATGCCCACAGCCCAGAGCTCGAGAAGGGGACAGTGGTGTTGCCCTACGTTTCGATGACATCCAGTTTGTACAAGCAGCACATACTTGCTTTTGTGGGGTGACACGGCACCTGCTACGACCCCCCAGGTGTCCCGAGTGTGATTAACAGGCATGAAAGCACCAAGAGAGGTGCAAGCCCAGAGCCGAGGTCTGAAAGTACCATTCAGAGCACTCGTCACGTAAAAGCCACACTCAGAGGGAGTCAACAGCCTAAGACGCTTTCACAACTTAAGACAAAGACTCATGATTCTAAACGGCCAACTGAGCAGGAGAATGTTCCCCCTGATCCTCCCGGCACCACCACGAAAACAACAGAAACACAGCAGCCTCCACAAAAGTCTGGTAATGGCCACAGCTGGTAAGACTTAAACTCGTCTGGAAAACTGCACTGGGCCTGAGAGACAGGCCCCACGCTTGTTTCAACAATGACTTTTCATTCACAACAATCACAGTCAGGCTGGAGTCCAGCTGGATGTCCCTCCCATCAGCTAACTCCCTGGGTCTCGGGGAGCATTGGGGGGGCGCAGCATCACCTGGGGCCTCTGCTGGGAGGGGGCGAAGGGCTGGAGCCCAGGAGAGCCGCACTCCAGCCCAACCACCTCATTTTCAGCTGGAGAGTCAAGGGTGGAAGGTTGCAAGTGACCTGCTCAGCTCAGATGGGGGTGAGGTCACTGGAAGGCGGGACGGCCGGCCCTCCCTGTACCAGTCACCGCCTCCAAGCGCCCCTCACCCGGTGGTGTCGGAGCACAGCAGAGGCACCACCTCTTGCCCCTGTACAGCTGCTGAGTCAGATAAGCTGAGGACACCCAGGGGCAGAACGGCCACACCCGGAGACACGCTGGGCTGGCTCCAGGCCCCGAGGCTCCCTCTCTCCCTGCAGCTCAGCACCGTCCTCAGCTGTCTTCCTCGGGACTGCGCTTTACTCTGAGAGTTTTAGAGGTGCCGTTAGGATGGCACAGCCTCTTCTTAAAAAATGTATTTTTATTGATTTTTAGAGAGAGAGGAAGGGAGAGGGAGGAACACAGATAAGAAACTTTGATCGGCTGCCTCCTGCACGGCCCCTGCTGGGGATGGAGCCCACAGCCCAGGCCTGTGCCCTGACCGGGAATCGTGACCTCCTGGTTCATAGGGCGACGCTCAACCACTGAGCCACGCCGGCCGGGTGGCACGTCCTTCACCTCCAGCTCCACAATCCCAGGACCTGCTGCCCCTGCGAAGTCTTTCAAGGTCTCGAGGGCAGCCAGTGCTCCAGCCCACAAAAAAAGACAGGAAAAGGCACGGGACCAAGTACATCGCTGTTTAATGGACACCACCGTCGAGTGTGAACGATTCTGTGTAAAACGAACCTTAATGTAAACGTGTTTCAGGCGTCACAGCCAGCAGAGGAGGGGACGCCCAGCAGGAGGGGATCGAAGGCACTTGGGCGAGTTACACGAAAGCCGTCTGCAGACGGCTCAGGATCTCGGCAGACGCCTGGAGGATCTTTAGCTCTTCTGTCCACAATGTTTCAACCAAAGTCAGCTGGTCTATCAAAGCCATTTCCTTATCTTTCATGTGAGAAACCTGGAAGTTATTTTTAAATTTTTTATAATAAAATATACATAAAAATTACCATTTTCAGCACTTTTAAATGTACAATTCAGGGGTAACATATGTTCAGAGTGTTATGTAATCATCACCAGAAGCTCTGTCCCCATTAAACACTACCCCCCCAGCCCTGGCGTCCTGTGCCATCCGCCTCCACGAGGTGCCTGCTCTCCTCTCGGTGGAAGCGGGAAATGAGTTCCTGCGCTCGGTTCGTTTCACCCAGCACAGCGCTACCTCAAGGTTCACTACCATTTTTAAAGTCCCAGTAATGTTTTCATTCAAATGAGCTGGTTTCTCATTTAACTAAAACACTTAATAAAAATAAAAGGAGCCTGGCCGGGCGTGGCTCAGCGGTTGAGCGTCGACCTGGGATCCAGGCGATCGGGGTTCGATTCCCAGTCAGGGCACATGCCCGGGTTGCAGGCTCGATTAATGACTC